GAGTGAACGCAACTGATTTCCTTGCAGAGGAAAGCATTTCCACTCATTCCCTTCAAATTTAGTGCATGAGAATTGCACACATTCTTTGACTTTGCAGAAACAGAAATAGACTCACTGGAGTCCGTGCAGAATGTCAAAGCGTGCAAAATACAAGCAGAGTTGAAAATCATTTGCAACGGCGATCACAGATCACCGCTGTGAAGTGAGCACTTGGAGACCATCTTCCACCCTGATCGTTCATAATCATGCTACACCACCTGCGCCACAACTTAGACCCGCTATGAGCTGGTTTATACCGAGTGTGCATGCACTGTCTACAAAAAGTTTCCACTCATTCCCTTAAAATTTAGTGCATGAGAATTGCACAAATTCTTTGACTTTGCAGGAACAGAAATCGACTCACTGGAGTCCGTGCAGAATGTCAAAGCGTGCAAAATACAAGCAGAGTTGAAGATAATTTGCAACGGCGATCACAGATCACCACTGTGAAGTGGGCACTTGGAGACCATCTTCCACCCTGATCGTTCATAATCATGCTACACCACCTGCGCCACAACTTAGACCCGCTATGAGCTGGTTTATACCGAGTGTGCATGCACTGTCTACAAAAACAGCCCTAGATGTCAAAAATGTATTTGTAAGAAAATGAATTAAGTGCGTTTCAAAAGCACGCCATGCTTCCACAAATGAATCAGCTCTTTTAATAATAATAATAATAATAAATAATAATAATAATCTTTATTTGTTTATTCATCCACTTAGTATGATTTTTTTTTCCAAAATATTAAGCCCTCCTGTAGCAAAAAAATTGATCATCGAAGTGATAATAAATCACACAAAAAGATAATTTGCAACGGCGATCACAGATCACCACTGTGAAGTGGGCACTTGGAGACCACCTTCCACCCTGTTCGTTCATAATCACGCTACACCACCTGCGCCACAACTTAGACCCGCTATGAGCTGGTTTATACCGAGTGTGCATGCACTGTCTACAAAAACAGCCCTAGATGTCAAAAATGTATTTGTAAGAAAATGAATTAAGTGCGTTTCAAAAGCACGCCATGCTTCCACAAATGAATCAGCTCTTTTAATAATAATAATAATAATAAATAATAATAATAATCTTTATTTGTTTATTCATCCACTTAGTATGATTTTTTTTTCCAAAATATTAAGCCCTCCTGTAGCAAAAAAATTGATCATCGAAGTGATAATAAATCACACAAAAAATAAATAAACACAACAACAAATGTCATATCAAGTGTCCTCTCTCTCACCTTACATCAAACGCGATAGCTTACAAAGGCCAAAAATTTTGACCTCTTATGTGATTGACACATAAGAGCTACTTTTGAGGAATTTTGTTTTTCGGCAAGATGTGTCATGTTTTTCAGATGGGCGCAGCCCAATTCTCCAAATTCAACCGTGAGTTTTATTCATGTGAAAATGTTGGACTCAACATTTTGTTCATATGAGACACAACTCCATCATTCAGTGGAGATTTGGTGTTCCTGCGAGTTTTGCACACTTTCCCAACATTGGTGTGTAGAAATTCTGTGTCTGTGACACTTTCTGGCAAGTGAATCATTTCAGGCGTGACATGTCTTTGGAGGAATTCAACAGAACTTCCCTTCAGAATGACGTAATGACAGCATGCAGCCTAATCCCAAACTTGATGTTTCAGTCGGGAGTAACACTGGGCGGGAGAAACAAATGTTGACATGCTTTTGACCCAGATTTTACCTTCTACCTCCTTCATTGCTCATTGTTTTAACATTCAGCATTTCAGATTTTAAATGCAATATTCGATAATAACCCCCCCCCCTCCGCCAAATATAATCAATAAGGAATTAATGTAATGGTAAAATGATGCTGTTAAACAATAGATACATGTTGGTAAGTGTTTTGGAATGTGGGAGGAGACTGGAGTACCCGGAGAAAACCCATGCGGGCCCTGGGTGAACATGCAAACTCCACACAGGGAGGCTAGAGCTGGAATTGAACCGGGTACCTCTGCACTGTGAGGTCGACATGCTAACCATTGGACCACCGGGCCGCGGAGCCAGATAATTTATTTATATATTTTTTTAATTATGTTTTTTAGTAGATATATTCTAAAAAAACATCAAAAGCCAGGGGGTTCAATTGTATGCAGCCACTTGATCAAAATAAAATTGAGCCAATTCAACATACCATTTTTTTTTTCAGAGTACACAAGACAACTGTCATTATCTGCACGCACATCTCTACATCCTGCAAAGGAATGGCAGGTACGTCTCTAATAATGCAGTAGGTTAGAATGGCATGACACAGACACATTCTGTAGACCCAGGAAGCTTTTGTTTTCGGGTTGTATCCAACACTTGTGTTCACTTCAGGATCTAGTCGTAATGCGCACACTTTAATCGAGTGGAACCTCAAAAGCGAAACAAGTAATTTCAATCTCTGGATGGATGGAAACCAGATTGAAGTTCTTCAAACAGGTGAGTTGCTGACTTTTTTTCAAGGATTTTAAATACAAATGGTATGTTAGCTTCAGGCGCAAATTGTCAAGGGTGTTCGGCTCGACGCCAGGTTTCTCAAGTGCGGGATTTTTTTTTGCAGCCGTTTTGACAGTGAATGGAACAAAGACGGGTGGTGAGAGAAGCGAACCGATGATTTGCTTGGCGATAACGGATGATCAGGCTCTGACGAGGTGGGTGGGTACAGAGTCAAATTGGTTAATTGAGGGTTGGGTCATTTTGGGGGGTTTTATGGGCGGCGGGGGGCAAGGTGAGAGGGCCTTGCTAATATTCAAGATAAAGTTCAAGATAATCCTTCAGATCAGGGCTACATATGCCAAATTCATTAAATCCCGCCCATGTTGCATAATATAAAGAGTCCTGTTACATTTTTATTCATGTAGCGTGTTTTTTTTCCCCTCCATAAGAATTGGTTCATTATGTTATTTAGTTATCGCAAGAACATTTGGTTATGTTATTGTCAAAAATGAAATCAAAATATTGGAAAAAAATATTTTATATATTGTTCTACGTGTTTTAATGTATTTTTGTAAATTACCTGATTTATGATAGCTAGTTACAATTTAACTAAATGGAATTTTTTTTTCTTCTATCACTATTTTTATTTTTAAAATTATATTTTGGAGATAGGGGTGTTTTTAAACTCATCTCCAAATGAGCTGGCCCATCCGTTTGTCTTTCAATGAAACGTGGCCATTGAGCACAACAGCTTGCCTACTCTTGCTTTCGGTGTTGACTGAGACAACATTTCATTCTATTGCATAAATTGCTCACATCTGGCTTTTCGTGGCGCTTTTGAAGTGTAACATATCCTGCCCATAAATTTTTGTTCAACTGCTGTTGTGCGTTCTCTTATGAGCAGACTTGAGCTAGCTTAAGCTTCCCCCACCCCCCAGTTGTTTTCAAATGCTCGACTCACTTCCACCACAAACGTACTGATTGAAAGCACGAGACTTGTAGCCCTGTGTTGTTGCTGTCACCGGGACAACAAAAGCCATCGAAGAGGAAGTCACATTTAACTCTTTCCCAGGCCACGCATTCGAATAAGTGTCCATTGTCGGTCGCCAGAGTATACAACAAGACTTGATGTGCAATGTAAAAGACATTTTTTAAAAGTCAACAAATAGTTTTCAAGTCCACATGGAATACAACATGAATACATTTTTTTACACAGATGCCACGGAGCTGTGATTCATACCAGGCCAATTCCTTGTTGCGTCTTGAGCCAATCAGAGCACAACTTGGATTTGGACACAAAGAGGGAAATGCAGGAAGAGGGAAAACCAACATGTTCCGTGGAAAAAACCTGATGGTATGAGTGGTGCCCACATAAGAAGGAAACATTGCTTTCCTAATTTGATTCTGACTGCTCACTCGCTCTTAAACTGCATTTCCTGTTTTTAAAAAAAAAAACATAATGAGTCCGCAAAGACTGATTATTTATAGTTAACACACAGCACATGTTCCACTTTTGTCCTCCCATGCTCTCCTTGCGTAGTTTTTTCTCTCTCCCCGCCCACCACCCTTCTGACTTTACCCGTTACCACACCAGGGTCGCTATGGCAACGGGGTTTACCACAGAGCTCTGATGACCAAAGCAGAGGCATATATGACTGCCGTGGAAATAGTTTGAGTGCAGTCGTTATGGATACGGATACACAAAGAACCACGGCGTATGAAGCGTAACTATAGCGTGATGGAGATTTGATGTCCAATCAGCAGCGCTGTCCGTAATTCACGTTAATATTGTGATCTCCATACTTGGGAAGGGCGGAGGCTACAGTGTTCCTTTTGTAACTTTTTTTTTTTTAATGGTGTGAGGAATGTCTGTGTTCTAACCCAAACAGTACCTCGGGGCTGTAGAACAATACAAAGACAAATAAACACCAAATGTTTTAACAGAAAAGGGAAGTCTATGAATGTGTCGCCTTCAGATGTGTACCTGAGGGTCAAAGAAGTGCGTAAATGTGTTGCTGATCAAATGCCTTCGCACAAAAGTCTCTTTTGTGAAGACCTATTAAGTCGTTAACCACCTAAGGCGGCTGGTGGTGACGGCAGACATCTATCCCTAAGGTAATAACGTCTTTTTTTAAAACAAAACATCATTGTCACAGTTTCCTGGGGAGGTTTCTGCCTGGGAAAACAAACAAGAATAATGCCAACAATCCATAAGTGGAGTGGAGTGTTATGTAACTGGGAGAAAATGCTGAGTCGTGCTTTATAATGTAGACTATGTACTCATTGTTCAGAGAAGCTCATGGAGAGCCACTACGGGCTGATATGTGCCACGCTTAACTGTTCAATGTATAACTGCATGTGGCAGCAGAGTGAAAATGCTATTTTGATATGTACGGTGAGTATAAAAAGTCTACACACCCTGGTTGAAATGCCAGGCTCTGCGGAAGGAAAAAAAGGAGACCAAGATAAATTGTTTCCAAAATGTTTTCGACTATTAATGTGACCTCCAGATAGGCAACTCAATCAAAAGAATTGTAGAGTAGAATCAAAATAGAAACAACAGAAACAATGTGGTTGCATAAGTGTGCACACCCTCTTATAATTGGGCTGTGGCTCTGCTTTGAATGAAACAATCACATTTAAAATCATCTCAGATGGGAGTCAGCTCTCACCTGCAACAATTTAAAGTGTGTGTGTGAGATTAACACTGAATACATTGAGAGGAGACTTTTCCTAATTGCTTTCTATCAGAAGTCTGAAGGTTTTGTTTGAATAGTGACTGCTATTTTGAACTGTTCATAATTCCTCCTAGCTTGTCTATGGTCCTAGTCACAGCTGAAGAAAAAATAGCCCCAAAGCATGACGTTGGCTCCACCATACTTTTCGTGATCTTTTGGCGCTGAGCAATTTTGTGTTTGCATTAAACATACCTTTCACTATGGCCAAAAACGCAATGCTTGGATTCATAAACCCTAACAAAATTTTCCAAACATGAGAGTCCATGTCATCGCCTGCAGATACTGTTAAAAGCATTTTACAGAGTGTTAAAAAAACTAAAAACAAAAAGACATTATATTGCAACTGGCTGCATTCTAAACATACTTACTACACAACATTAACCGTGGGTTGCTATTATGTTTGTCTTAATATCTTGTAAAATAAACATGCGTCTTTGAGTTTCTACAATTATCTATTCAACCAGAACTTTAATATTGTTATCATTGTGATTAGGGTCAACCAAGGTTTCATCCAGATCGGATCCGAATTGTACGTTCAGATTGAACGGGACTTCCTATGCTGATCATAAGCATAGTCCTTGCTGTTAGATCTCTTTAACATCAAGAATTACATCCAAAATATGCTGCCGTACTGCAGACAAAGTTGATTGCGTGCCAAGCAGCCAAATTAGACCATCTGCGTTTACAAACCAAAAAGACATATTGAGTTATCTCAAGCAGTATAATTGAAGTTGTTCTGACAGCTAAGTGTGAAAGAATTTATTCCGGGCAGGAAAATTGGGGATAATGACTTCATCAATACTTGTAGATATCATGTGAGAACAAGTAAAAACAACACAGATGATATCTCAAAAGAAATTGACAAAATCACATTATCTCACGAAATAAATCCCTTGAACAGATTACGAGACGATTTTCACTGTTGGCCTGGGTGACAAAAGTCTCTTGATCAATTGAGTCACGGGACAGAACAATGGTACCAGTGTATGCAGTTTAAATGTCACTGCAGAACATCCGAAAAGACTTCATGGTGCTTCTGAAAAGGGCCCGGAAAAAAAGAAAGCCACGCTGGAGTCAAGCCTGGAAAACAAGATTGTGTGACGTTCGAGCTGGAATGTTCAAAGGAGAGTTTTCTGAACCTGGTTGGTATTACCGGTTCTGTAAATGAGTCAGAGGGATGAAAAACAAGTCAAGATTAGTTAAAAAATGCTCATTGCTTGTGTCCACGTTATTGGGTCTCTGGAATGGCTTCCCAATCATCACGTGTGAAATTACATAACCATTCATTTTTTTGTGAGCTGCCCCATTTTAAGAAGACTTTCGAAAGGTTGATAAATGTGCTGTCATTATTGATCCTGATCTCAGACCTTTCAACAAGGCACCTGGGAACTGTTTTCATTTGTGGAAAACTGTCCTAATGCCGCATAGTGTAAACTCTCTGAGTCTGGCCATGAGTCACTACGTGAATTGCTTCCTCATGTCTCAATCCCGAATTTGTGTGTATTAATAGAATTCATCGTCTCGAATTCAATCATCCATAATTTAACATGGGAAAGCTTACAAAAGCACAAGATGCATGCAAATTTCCCACAGGAAGAGCCCTTGCAGAAATTCAAACGCGGATATACAGATTAACCACACCGTCATGTGCTGACCACATGTCTACCGTGCCACCCTGTTGTTCATATCCAATCTTCATATTATTGTTTTGCCCTTATTTGGTGCAACGCCTGCTTAGATAGGAAATAACAGCGGCTGCTACAGTGTGTCGCTACGGACATCCCGCGACGACGGTAAAATGAGAGACGTGCCTCCTCATCGCCCTCCTGTTTCTCCTCCACCCTCCCAACGCTGAACAGCCCGAAGCCGTTTTGACGAGCTGTAATTCAGCATGTCATTCAAAAAGAATGTTCCTTGCTCACAAACATCACTCATGTCACAGAAACGGGAAGATTAGCATCGGAACAAGCTTCATGTGACTACCAAATGCTGTGTGATTGATTTGCATTCGGCAAGGGTTCAGGAGGCCATCTGTAGCGGGGTGCAACGATTGATTAGGACCCATTCGGTGTCGCATTTCTTGTCGTTTCGTGAAAATTGTGTGTGACGCGTCATGTTTTCTTTGCATACTTGCTGGGCGTGACTGTGCTTCAGCACGCTTACAAAAGTGTGAGTGCAGTGTTTGCATTGTGGGTATTGGTGTCACAATAGTAATCCGAATGGAAATACAAAAATGTTGGCCACTGATTACTAGTGGCATACTCTAAGCGCAAATATTGTGACATAAAGACCACGTCTGAACAACGCACTTTGTATCGCTTGCGTGTACAGTACAATATTAGGGTACGGAAAAACAAAGTTAGCCATGATCTCATTGAAGTCCCACATAAACAATGTGAAACCGAAATATTATCACTGGAGTTGGCTGGAAAAAAAAAAATACCCCCGTAAGTCGAGCATGAAATATAAATGAATGA